ATGCAGCAATTGCTTATGTTCTTCACTGTATATACTGTACTTCAAAATTAAAAAAAATATGTAATTAAGTATATTGTAGTCCAGATATACTCCACACTAACTCAATCTTCCATTTATTATAAGAGGTATTAAATCATTGACTTAAATATTTTGAATTCCAAGAGTGAGATAGCTATTAATTTTTATCAGTGAGAGCAGCAGATTTGATGCTGACAGGGTAAGAAAGTGCCCAAATGAACTTTTTATATGAAAAGCTAAAGAATTAGAGTAATAAAATGCAAGATGTGTACTTACATTTTTGAGCATTTATAAGAAAGAAAATACTCTAATTTTTCTGTGATAGAACATTACTTTTAGAAGCCTTGTGCAATCTGTCTTTGAAGACAAACTGAATGTTTTTTCTAACTGTGGATTTTTTACTCAAAATGTGATCTTTTAAAATTCATTTGTGGTGATAATTACCAGCAGCACACCTTGTTGCTAGCAATTACTTTGAACTTTATGCCTTTTCCCTGTCTCTTATAGAAATTATTCAAGTAATAGAATTTGAAACCATTCCACTTTCTGTGTAAGTAACACGGAGCAAGGGATTACATGCATACATGCATGCATAGGTGCATAAATATGTCTCTGTGTGGATATACCACAGCTCAGCAATAACATAAGATGATGGGGTGTACTTGTAAACAACAGCATCTACATACTTTTTGAAGACTTTGTATATTAATATACTTTGTATATTCAGTATCCAGTTAATATACAATCCCTTTTTACTTTACAATTTTCTTTACTTCATAAGATTTTTGAGCAATTAGGTGCTCTAACTCCCTACAACTGACGTTGTTTTCTCATTTAAATTTCATGTTTGCCAGCTGCTTAGAAAAGCCAGACTTGTTGCATAGTAACAGTGAAAGGAAAAATAAAGAAATGTAGTGTGATTTCCATGGGCCAGATATGGAATAGATTCCAAAGCCAACATCCAAAATATTCAGAGTCTCCCATGAAGACCTAGTGGATCTTTTTGAAACCAGTCTTAAATATTTCAGTTTTCTCCAGGTTGGATATATATGCACCCATGACTAAAAACAAATTTCACAGGAATAAGTCTGCATTGTGATAAAAATTTATCTAACCTCTGCTTATACCTTAAATAATAAGTCTAATCTTCTGACTGGTTATTCCACTATTATCCAGTTCTGGTGTTTAGTTATTACAAAATCAGAGGATCACAAAATGGCTGCTATCAGAAGTCACTTCTGTAGGTCATTTTTTCCACCCCCCTTTTCAAGCAAAGTCACCTAGATCCACTTGCTTAGGACTGTGTCTAGACAACTACTGAATATCTCCAAGGATATAGACTCCGTAACCTCTTGTAGTGGTTTGAACCAGGTTTTCCCCCTGCAGTTGAAAGTGGTAACCCCCAGGGGGTGGTAATCCTGGAAGTTTTGAAGTTTTAGCCAATGAATGCTTCTGTGAAATATAAACATATCACAAGCAAACGGAAGAGAAGTGTTGTAGGTTGGTTGTAGAAGTGGTAGCCATGTTGTAGAGCCACGAGGAGAGGGCAGGAGCCCTTGGGGGGGGCTTTCCCCCCCTTACCCCCCCAGCCCCAGTTGGGGACTGCAGAGACTTGGAACAGTGTTAGACTGGGCTAAGTGTCTGTAGTTAAGCCAGGAGATGTTTTCTCCATCGTGGGCAGTGGCAGGAGTAGCGACAGACCAGCACCGACTGGAGAAACGGTGGCACAGAGCCAGAAGAGATAAGACGAAGCAGCAGAGGCATTACAGCCAAGCAGGAGAGGACTCCTGGAAGGAAAGTTGAGAGAAAGCCAGCAGCTGAGAGACAGAGTTTTGGGGGTAAGAACTGAACCAGACCCTCCAAACTCCTTGGAGACCCCTCACGTCCTAGGTGGGAGGGGGAATGGAGCTAGGGAATTAGAATTTTGGAGATCTCAAACCATGACACCTCTCTGAGCCACCTGTGCTAGTGCTCAGTCACCCTCACAGTGGAAAAGTGTTTCCTGATGTTCAGATGGAACCTCCTGTGATTCAGTATGTGCTCATTGCCTCTTGTTCTGTCACTGGATACCACTGAAAAGAGCCTGGCTCCCTTCTCTTTACACCCTCCCTTCAGGTTTATGTACAGATTTGTAAGATCACCTCTGACCCTACTCTTTTCCAGGCTAACCAGTCCCATCTCTATCAGCCTTTCCTCATATGAGGGATGCTTTGGCCCTTTAAACAGATTCATAACCCTTTGCTGGATCCCAGCAGCTCCATATTGCTTTTGTTCTGGGGAGCCCAGAACTGGTCACAGTGCTCCAGATGTTGCTTTACCACTGCCAAGTAGAGGGGAAGGATTAGTTCTCTTGGCCTGGTTGGCAGCACTCCTCCTAGTGCAACCCAGGATACTGGTGGCCTTATTTACTCCATGGATATATTATTGGATCGTATTTAATGTGATGTCCACCAGGACCCCCAGGTCCTTTTATGTAATGATGCTTTACAGCTGGATGGTCTCAGCGTCTTCTGGTGTATGGGGTTGCTCCTTCCCAGGTGCAAGACTTGACACTTCCCCTTGTTGAACTGCATGAGGTTCCTGTCAGTCTGTTTTTCCAGCTTCTTGAGGTCCCTCTGGATGGCAGCACTATCCTCTGATGTATCAGCCATCCCTCGCAGTTTTGTGTCATCAATAAACTTGCTGAGAGTACACTCTGTCTCATCATCCAGGTTGTTAATGAAGATATTATACTGGATTTCTCCCAGTGTTGACCCCTTTGATGCACCACTGGCCTCCAACTTGACTTCATGCTAAGATGATCAATACTATCACAGGCATGGTCCACCTCACTGTCTGCTCATTCACTACATTTTTTTTTACTAGTTAAGGAAATTACAGATTACCATCCTTTTCAGCCTAGGCCACTCCAAAGTTTCAAATTCTCTTTGTTTTCCAGCAACTCTAAATAACCTGGTACAGTTTTTTTACATCTCATAAAAAGTTTCAAATGCTTTACAGTAAAGCTTATAATAAATGAACATTGCAGCAATCTGTTATTGTAGAGTGGGTTTAATATATCACAGGAGGAAATAACCTTTATTTTATTGAGTTACTTTTTTAAAAAGAGACTTTCAATGCTTCAGGAAAGAGTCACAGAACTTCTTCTGGATGTAAGGTCTTCCATTTACATAACCTTTACATATTTTCAAAATTTTTATGAACATTCTTGTTTTTCTCTTTACATACTTCATTTTACTATTAAGGAGATCCTCATAAAAATATTTGCATGTATTTCATTGCCCTTAAAGTCTATTGCATCCTACTTTTCTCTCTCCTTATTGGTGATCCATCTTCTTTTTCACTCTTTTTCAGAGTTTTCCTGCTTGGGGAATTTTTCCTTATGGGAACATGATTTTCATCTCTTTGTTGGAAGATCTAGCCACTCAGTGTTTAGATATCATTAAAAGTGTTCTGACTCAGCCAGACTGAGAATAACAATTTGATTGAATTACATACAGAAGAGCTGCTAAAGACTAATCTATTTAATGGTAGACTATTTAAAAAGCAAATATTTACTGGGCAAATATGCTTAAACGTGGTTGATTTTTAAGCATCTCTGATAATACCTTATTTACAGATTTTGTTTTTATTATAATAGTATTGGTATACTAACAATGGTAATGAAGTATATCACCTCAGGTGTCGTAGATTTTATTTCACCATCACTCTTGAAATGATGAAAAATTGCAAAAAGATTATTTTTCAAGGCTGAGCGAGATCTGCCATGTTTCTAGAATATTAACAGATTGTGCATTTCTGTGTGCACTGTTACCAATGTTACTGTATTGTTACATGAGAACATACTTTAAGAATTGTTTTGTGCAGCAAATTGCATGGTCTAGATTACACTTCAGCCTGGATTCTTGCTACTGGCACTGCTTTATATGAAAACTCCTTCATATGGAGAAGATCCTGGCAGGACCCTTTTCACCTTCTTTCTCCTTTGTACTTTGCTAATGTGGTGGAGTGTTTTCAGTGGATCGGAGTGATCCTTGCAAACTTAGTTAAAGGAAGAAATGCAATGGTTACATGGGTTACAGTTGGGATGTTAATTTGAACCAGAAGTCAAAGTATTTTGTTTCAGCATTAGTTATCAACATCCAAGTACATTAACTGAAATATTTGATTACATTTATCGTTGTTGATTATCATATATATCTACTGATCTATAAAACTGCTTAACAATTAATGCTAATTGCCTACTCAGTTATATTTGAGGTTCCAGAAGGTCATGAGTATTTACTCATGATTTATATTTTGCAACTGTAAAAGATAAATGGGAAGAACAACAGCAACCTGGTTATAGAGGAATAATTTAAAAAGTGATTTTACAAGTCCAGTTTTCGAAGTCAATACATTTTGACCATTCAGGTTAAAATGGTTGATGTTGCTTACAAAACACTAGATTTTTTCATTATATTTTTTGGTTATGATTCTTGCTATCCTGGATAGACTAAGGCTAGAAGGAAACAGGAGTTTTGGTGGTGGATTGGTTGTGGGTTTGGTTTTTTTCATTTGATACATCTCCTACTTCCACACTTTCTCTTCGTTGTTTTGTTAATAGTTCCTTCTTCATTGACCCCATTCTGAAACAAGAACAGCTCTATGTGTAAATGAGAAAAACAGTGCAAAACATTTGTTTTAGATGGAAAAGCAAATGATAAAAATTTCCCAGACAAGACCAGTCTATTCTAAGAAAACATATCTTGAAATGCTTTAGTCTCTCACATTTATTTCAGACAGTACCTTCAAACTGGGCCAAATATTGTGAAATGATAATTTGTCTGTGGATTGTTGTTTATTAAAGCGTAGGTCTAAGACCAAACTCATTTCTTCTATTTACTACACTTAGTTATAAAAGCGTGATACAAATCCTATCAGACAGCAAATATAATCATATTTATCTGATGGAAAATAGCACACATATTAGACTTATTACCTTGTTAACACAATGAATTCCACTGTAAATCCTTATGATATTTTTTTCCCAGTAAGGCCAAATGGATGCTTCTGACAAAGAAATGTCTCTTCTTGGTCAGTGGGGATGGCAGACTATTCAAAAAGACAGAATGAAGTTTAGATTTCTCTAGTTAAGTTGAGTATTATACTGTAAAATGCAAAATAGGCAAAAAGATTCTGAATGGGTCTGTAAATATATCCTCTTTCATTAGGCTGATGTATTAAAATATCATGTGGTTAGCTGTGTGATGTTCTCACTTGCTAATGTATGCAGAAATATTTTTGAACTTATTCTTCTGAAAGAGAGGGACAGAGAAAAGTAGGATTTCATAACAGAAAAAAATAACTTGGTATGATAGTATCAATAATTTCTGCATTAATAATTAGTGTGTTGCCATAGTTTTGAAACATTTCTCATTTCCAAGAAGTATATGTATAATTATGTCACTGAAGCACATTATCAAATTTTAGCACATTGACATTAAAGCCTAGATACTGAAAAAACTTATTTTATTTTTCTCTATTTTTAAGATCCAGATTTTAAGGACCTTGGCGTTTTGAAACCATTGCCAGGTTGGTATGTTGGTTTTGGGTTTTTTTCTAACTTGGAGGCCTTTGTACTCTTCTGTAGAAAATATTTTTGTTTGCTGTTCAGGTTTCATTTTTTCTGGTGTTTTGTTATTCAGTTTGTGAGTTTGAGATGGGAGGACCTGAAGGAATTGTGGAATCTGTACAAATTGTCAAAGAAGGAAAAGCTTCTGAAACTGAAGCAGTAGACTGTAAATGGTACATCCGAGCGCCACCCCGATCCAAGGTCAGTCCTTCATCCACTTGCTGATTTGCCATTTAATTTAAGAAATTGACTTTTCTAATATATTGTGCATTTCTTAGTACAGTCAGATCTCGTTTAATAACTTTACAGCTTGAACTGTAAACTATTTTTTCCTTCTGCTGTGGAAGGGTAATTTGTCATCTCAGCCAAAATGACCACCTTTCTCTATAAATGATGATGTGGGCAGTGCTAATGTGCTTTTTGTGCCATAAGTGATTTTCTTAAATTCATCTTTAATTTTGCTCATATTTTTAAACAGTCAACATGTTTTCTTATGTGGGAAGTAATCTTATCATTTTAATTTTCAATGTATTTCAAATACCTAATATAGAGACTACTAAGGGAACACTGCTGGCTCCCTAAGGTCATCATTGTTTCTCATCTGGGAACTGTGAAAATGGACCTAAGGTAAATTCACGTTCCTCTGTATAAAACCTTTAATGGTTTAGAGCCACAGACAAAAAGAGATAGTGTTCTCATTTCCTTCCCACCACAGACATCAAGCCATGCCTTTGTAAAATGAGAGGACTGCAACGAATTTAACAATACTTTCCTGGATTCTGCTTGATTTCCCCTCTTATCCATAGCTTATCAGTTATTATAACATTAATTGTTGCTGAAAAACTACTGCTTCTCCCTTCTTTACAATTGGAACAGCTTTATGCCTCCTACCTACTTTTATTCACTGTGTTAAAGAGATTCCACAGTATACTTTTTCTAGCTGTCTTTTATTGGACAGGAAAGGTTTTACAAGGTAGAATTTATATATGCACTAATCTCTGCTGTCTTTAAACAGATAAGGGTTTTTGTGTATAATCTCAGAGAGGAGACTGTACTGAATATGTAACTGTTTCATCATTAATATAACACATGGATGAATGCTGTAGGGTTCTCTTCAGTAAGAGTTTCCAGAAGAGAAAAAGTCATTAGTATCAGCATTTTTCTTATGGGAAAGTTGAGGAGAAGAGTTGGCTCATAAAGGCTACAGATAAATTATTTCCAGAATATGATTTAATCTCACATCTTTGTTTTTTTACTTTTTGATAAATTTAATATTGATAGGAGTTTTCAATTAAGTAGATGAGCTTCCCACTTTGTTATACCAAGCAGTGATATGAGATGACTGGGCTGATGAATGATTATTACATATATTATATGTAATTTATGTTCATTCAGGGCACCCCCAGTATCAAAACAAGCTTGGGGATGAACAGATTGAGAGCAGCCCTGCCGAGAAGGTCTTGGGGATAAATGAGAGGCTGGACATGAGCTGGCAATGTGAACTTGCAGCCCAGAAAAACAACCAAATCCTGGGCTGCATCAAAAGCAGTGTATCCAGCAGGTCAGGGGAGGTGAATCTACCCCTCCACTCTGCTCTTGTGAGACCCCACCTGGAGTGCTGTGTCCACCTCTGGGCTCCCAGAAGAGAAAAGACATGGGCCCGTTGGAGGGCCAGAAAAATAATGAGAGGAATGGAGCACCTCTCCAGTGAGGAATGACAGAGAGTTGGGGTTGTTCAGTCAAGAGAAGAGAAGGCTCTGAGTAGACTTTATAGCAGCCTTCTGGTACTCAGTGGGGGCCCATAAGAAAAGTGGGGACAAACATTTTAGCATGGCCTGTAGAAAGAGGACAAGGGATAATGGTTTTAAACTAAAAGAGGGTAGATTTAGAATAGGTATGAGGAAAAAATTTTTTATAATGAGGGTCTTGAAACACTGGAACATGTTGCCCAGAGAGGTGGTCAATGACCCATCCCTGGAAACATTCAGGGTGAGGTTGGATGGGACTCTTGAGCAACTGGATTTGGTTGAAGACATCTTTGCTTACAGCGGGAGAGTTGGACTGAGTCCCTTCCAACTCAAACTATTCTGTGATGTACTTAGATATTAGTAGAATGAAAACAGGTAAACACAAAATTAGAATTGCACTTCTTAGAATCAGCACAAATAAGGCAACAAAATTATCCTGTAGTCTTAATTCAAGTTCATAATTGGTTGATCTGGTAATGTCATTGTCATGTTCTTACTTGATCTAACTCCAAAGTTCTATATGATTCAAAAACCTTCTAAAAATCCCTTATTTACTTACCTGTAGTATTTATCCACACTTCAGTCCTGGTGTAAAACTACAAATTGGGTAGCTACATAACCATAAACACAGTGTATAACAGAAGGACACCACACTAACACTATTAACAGAGGGTTAAAGATTGAAGTTCATTAATTCTTCCATACCTACATTTAGCTGTGTTGCATTTCAAGAAGTGTATCCTAGCTGAAGGCCATCTGGAAGGGAGAGCAACAAGAGAGTTTTAGAAAAATGGAAGTAATACTAAAAGTTATTTAATGTAATCTACAAGATTTTGTGAAGGAGCCTGATATAATAAAAGGCTTTTGCAATGAGGAAGGAATGCGCTGAAGTCCATGTCTGTAGGATAACTCATGGTCCCACACTCTGAAAGTTTCATGTTAGATACTAAAGAAGAAAATTTCAAACAACAGTGAGGGAATTATGATTGGTTGGGATTATGAGTTATTGGTTGAAAAAGTCTGTTCAGTTAGCATTGCTAGTGGTCTTAAAGTGTAGGTTAGATAACAATATATGAAAAATTGGAGAAACAGTACTAATCAATCCTACCTTTAGGCAGAGAGCTAGGATGGGTCATCTCTTGATGGATCTTGCTGTTCCTATCTTGCAGAGCTATCTGTGTAGAGAGACTGAGCAATATAAAAGAATATAAATTAGTGTTTAGTGTTTCCTAACATGTGGAGTTGAAAGATTTCACAGCAAGCTAGGAAAAAAAGTTTTCAAGCCTAGGTCCATCTTCAAGGGGGAAGTGCATTTGAACTTTCTTAGTGTGGTTTCCAAACATACATATATATATATATATGTATGTGTATATATATATATGTATGTATATATATATATATATACACACGCAGAGGTATATGTGTTTCACCATACTGGGACAGATTGAAAAATTTTCGGATATTAAGGAAGGAATAAGTGAATAAATTTTAATGAAATATGTATGATGTAAAATTTATGATAACATTTTTTATGGATCTGATTCAGTTGAACTGGATTCTATTCTCCATGCTTTGCCATCAACTTCCTTTGTGCTTATGCAACCTTGAACTAATGACATATTCAGTACAATTATTTAGTGACATCACTTTAATTTATGTCAGCTTTCACCTATGAAAACAAACTCTTCTGCTAAGAACAGTGAGAACTCAGTAGGCATCTTTAAATTCACATGTTCCTGTACTCTAGGTTGCACAGTTTGTTATTGGGAATTATGCCTAAAAGGCCAGAGTTTCTCAAACAGAATTTGTGCTGGATCTTTGCATCTTTAGTTTCTTAATTAAACTGTGCCAGAATGTGGGTTGCTTGCAATTTCATTTGGCTTAAAATCATCCAATCTAAACTGTCTGCAGAAGCAAGATTCAAGTCCTTCCCTTGGTTTCCAATTCCAGATTGAAGCCAAGTCTGAGCTCAACGTATGAGCAATGAGATCAGCCAGGGAGTATGAACCTGAGATCTCTGAACCTGAGCTTCAAGCTGACAGCCTGGGTCTAATGTTGCTATCGTCAGCGAGCTGAAATGAGACAGAGGGCAGCAAATTTCTTGCACACACTTAAAACAGAGTGATCACTGATTACCTTGTATTACGAAAACCCCCAACAAAACAAACCAAACAAATACCCCCCCCTCGAAAAAAACCTCAAACACATAAACAAACAAAACCAAAAAAAACCCCAAAAATGCATGCAGAGTGGAAACTTTCTGTAAGTGCAGAAGACAGCATAAGGCAGTTTGAACACAAACTTACATGCAGACCTGGAGTCTTATACTTGAAAGTGACTGGTAGAAAAATATGTGTTTCTCATAATCATTCAAAGTCAGTTGCTGCTGTGAAGAATCCAGTAATATTGGGAGTTCTGCACTTCATATAGAATATGACTTAAATCAGTAATCAGAGCAAGAATGTAAAATTTAGAAGTGAGCTGCTGACTGAATGTGCAAACCCACCCAGAACAGTAAAGTTCTGGAGGAACATCCCCATCTGAAAATTCTTCACTGGAGAACAAAGCCCAGAGAAGGAAGTGTATAAGCTTTTTACATAAGGATTTGAAAAACTTCAGAGATATCATTGCCTACAAACACTGGATAAGCAAAGATTCTGTATTTCGGAATAGAAAATAAAAAGAAATTTAATATTTTCTTACTTTCTGATAAGAGTGAAATTTTGGAGGCTAATATCAACAAGTGTTTTTCTATATTGGATGTATCAGCAGAGTTTGACAAGGCCCCCCAGGAAGACAGAATGCATGTTTGTGCTCGGGTAGCGCTCCCTTGGGTGAGCAACTTTCCCAAGAATTGTGTCATGCTTGCTCTTTCAGAGGTTCTGTAGAAAAAAAAAAGACAGCAGAATGTGACAATAAGAGTAATAAAATGTTTACAAATATGATATTCTGATGCTGGGAAAAAAACAGTGAGCAATGCTATTATAAGCACTATTACCAGAAGCTCTGGGCAGCTCAGGAAACAGCATCACAAACTACAGATGGGCAAGAATTAATTTGAATGTAGTCCAGTGAAAGTCATCTATTCTGGAGGAACGAGCAAGAAGTACATTTATACTGAGCAAATAGCAAGGATACCCACTGTATTTATACTATGAGAAAAAAAAAATGGAGTTATAAGCTTTTTAGACAAAGTGATGCCTAATTTTCTTGCCCCACCTGAGCAAGCTATGGGATCTTTATAGGATGAAAGACTTAACACAAAAGATTGAGAAACCAGAAGTATCAATTAACAAGTGTCTAGTTTTGACATATTATTACAGTACCCTTAACACTGAGCTGCCTGTGAGTGGTGACGTTTGTTTCAAACAGAGCCATTGGGGAGCAGAAGGAGGGGGCTGCACTGTACACAGAAGGGGGCCAGGCAGACGGTGGCCAAAGGGCCAGGGCATGGCTGATGAGGAGAGCTGGGCACTCCCAGCCGTGGTGGCTGGGGTATAGCGGTGGCTGGACTTTCCTCAGGCAATGAGGCTGGCCCAAGCACAAGCCAGGCAGCAGCCTGAGGAGGGATGAGGCTGAGTTGTTGCAGGATGAGGCTGGGCATGGGCCAAGAGCCCCAGTGTGACCAAGGCACTTGCATATTTACAAAGAATAGGTACTGCTACCTGCTAAAGGCTCTATATCACTTATCACTGTATACATGCTGGACCTTGTATCCACGCAACTAACCAAATAAAGAGATGGTTCCAGGTGCCTGACTTCATATGAAATGTGGTCCAGAGAGAGACTGGCTTGCTGTGCATGCATTTCCAGTTAGGAGGAAACATGCAGTGAAGCAAACTGTGGAGTTAAGAGTCAGTTTAAACCAATCTGACTAAACCAAAACATCTTCTGTTCTCCTATGTGAAGGGGAAACTAGTGCTCTTAAATGAGGTCTGCAAGAAAAGCAGTCTAAGCTGTCAGCACTGCCAGGCTACAACATCCCTAATTTTTGGAGGCTTCTTAATTGGATGAAGAAGAGAAGCTTTAAGTACTGCACTAAAGTTTAATAGGAGCCATTTGAGTTTTGATTCTTAAAATGTTACAGAAAAATTAAATTTAAAGACTGAATAACCTAACAACCAGAGACTCTTTTGCAGGCTTCAGATGAGCTCCATCTCTGAAGATGCTTTGAAGCTTGCTAACATACAGATAATGCAAATAATATTATGAATTAAAAAAAGCCCAACACATGTATATGACATCTCTGGAACAAGGTGAACAAATTCTGTTTAAACAAATAGAAAATATTGTTTACCTACGTTAAAATATTAAAATCACTTATTTGAAACAATTTTCTTAGATGAAGGTGCAAGACAATTACATGTTTGCAATCACATGTGTAGAAACTCTGCTAGCTGGCATGTTGATGCACATGTCAGAGCAACACTGACAAACCCACCAATTTTAAATTCCCATGAATCTACTGCATTCAGGTATAGGAATATTACAAACCTCAGCACTCTCAAACCAAATAGTAGGAAGTGTGATAAAAAAAGCTACTGATGAAAGTAATAAAACATCTACCAAAGAGAACAGCAGAATCAGGATTTGATCTACAGTTTTCAGTGTTAAAAGCAGAACAACACCAAGGAGCTGTAAAGGTTGTCAGTTGCAAGCATTTTGGCACTGTATTAGAGAAAAACGAGGGTGACTTGACAGTTAGAATAAATGTCAGCTATTGGGTAGTCACAGAAGTTTGAAGAAACAAATAGGACAAAGCAAAGAAATCCAAAGAGCTTCACTTGTCCAGGAAAATGGTGGTTTGATGTCTGAGCCTTGGCTGTGAACCACAGGGTCTTAGAAGTACTGTATAATGTTGTCACCTTTGACAGACAGTATTCTCCAAGCCCCAGAAGAGAGGAAAATATGAGGTATTTAGTTCTCTGTTTGCACAATATGTTCCCAGACTAGTAACAGAAGGCCCAAAATTCTAAAAAACACCCAACCAACCAACCAAAAATACAAACAGAATATGTACTGTTAACACTTTTGGATTGAAGTAATGTTAATTGAAAAAAAGTTTAAGATCCAAGCAAGAAGATAGGCCACATAAGAAGGCAAATTCAAGCATCATCAGTAATATGCTTTTTAGGCTGGTATACTTGGCGCCTTGCTGCCTTGAAGGGGATTAATTAGTGTTGCACAATCTGCCCTAAAAAACAGGGCTTCTTAGGCCTAAGTACTCTAGGTATCATCTTGAAAGTCCTTTGGTAATCACACAGAGCTGAAAAAGATGCAGAATAAAGCAGGTGCTGTAACTGATCACTGAGTAATGGGGAAGGACATAGGATGATTTAACCAAGTCCTGTGCTTACAAATGAATTAAATGAACCCAGAAGCTGAATATGCAAAATCTGGACATTATGCTTAGATGGAGCTGAGGTTTTTCTCTTATGTCTAAATTACTTTTGGCAGCTGAACGATGGTTTTTTGTTTGTTTGGTTTGGTTTCATTTAGAGGGACTGAGTGTCTGTGCACATATATTAAGTCTGATACAGGGAGATGGTTTGAAGCTTTTCCTGACTAGTCTGATCAATCATGTTGTCAGCCCTAACATTCAGTGATTGATTAAAAAGCAGAACTCATCAAAAGTGGATCACTATGAAGAGATTATAATCTGACCATTTTACTGAGGTTTATAGTTTATAATGGGTTGGGGTTTTTTTCCTAGTACATGCAATCAGACATTTCTGTTGTTTTCAAATTTAAAAAATAATAAAACTTATCCAGCATTTTCCTTTTTGATAATTGTTCATTATTACAATACAAATCTTAAAGATGACAAGATAATTATTTAAAATATAATGTGACTGAGTGTAAATTATATATGCCACAGTTGCAGTGAGGCTTAATCAGTTTTGTTGCTAATGACACTGGCATTTGCAGTGACATCTCAAAATTCAGTAAATCTAATACTTGAGCAGCCCACTCTTCTAGGTAATGTGGAACTGATGATTTGAAGAAAGTGTCTTATTAGAACTTAGCAGCAAAAATATGAAAGAAGATATGGCAGTTATGTTCCTTTCAAAGAAGATGTTCTCTTCAACAAGAATGCCCTGATTGTGGTAATATAATGTGTCAGTATCTATGGAAATGTTCATTTCAAAAGCTTCTATTGGCATCAGTGAAAAAATTCTTAATGAAAGCAGATGGTGGTTGAGTTGGTTACCTCTTCTTTAGCTCATTTGTTTTCTTTCAGGGGAACAAAGTTCCTTATCCACTACTGGTAGAAGTAATGGCTACAGTAAAGTAAAGGCTAAGGTCTTTGTAAATTACTTAACCAGAAATATTGATAATTTTTATTTCACTTTCTGATTAATTTCTTTTAGTGAGATCCACATACCAGTGAAAGTAATGAGAATATTGCCACTGATTTCAAAAAGCTATGTATAGGGAACATTTTGCATTAGGTAAGACTTTGTCATATAATCAGTTTTATTCTTTCCTCGGGGAACTCAATTTATTAGTCATTTTCTTCTACTAGTGTGGGTCTTACAGCCAGTGACAGGAACAATTGCAAATATATACTTATAAAACCATAAAAGTTGGCAGAGGCGTGCAGATGCAATTAAATTATTCCAGTGCTTTAAAATAAAATCTGATCCAACATCAGATTGTCAGTGTAGGTAATCAGTTTCCTGTTTCTGAAAATTCACTGCAGTCTTAATCCAAAGATCTGATCCAAATAAGTAAATGGAAAAATACCCACTGATTTCAGTGAGTGTTGTATCAAGTCCTCATTATTTTATATAAAGTTCTAGGAGTAGTCATCTCCAAAGGAGATTTTGAGAATGAAAATCCAACTCACCTCAGAATATCAGGAATTTGTTTTGTCTAATTTATGAAACTTCATGCCATTGGAGAAGGTGGCATCTTTCTTCTGTAGGATAGATGTAGATTTTTAAATCAAATATTTCTTTCCAGTGCCTATCAAGTCTATATATGTTATGATGTTAGCGGAATTTCTCGGACAGAGGAATGAACTGGTATGACTGACAGCAGAATTCAGTCCTAGGAAGAACTGAAAGTGTTGTCTGCTTCACTGAAAGACTCAAAGCAAAATGCTAAGTTATTATTCTCTTGAATCCTTTTCAGCATTTATGACTGCTACTCTAAGAAATATTTTTCATTTTATAAGGCTAGTGTGATGCCAGAAACTAGAGAATGTCAAATGATAAACCCATAAAAATAAGATTTTGGGTGTACTGTTTTATGAATAGGATGTTTGAGCAGAACAGGAATAATTGATGAATGCTGGAAATTGCTGTGAGAGATGGTATTTTGTAACCATAGTGAGGATTAGCACACATTTCTTGTAAGAATGAAAACTCATAAAAGTTGCATCTCAGTACTGAAATAGGATACCCTTTACAAGCTAGACATGTGCTTATATATATGTATATGCACATACACTTGTACATATAAATGCATATATATATGAGAAAGCAGGGTAGAAATAAAGAACATGTGAACAAGAAGGAGAGGTCTTTCACTCAGTAGGTGTAATTTTACTGTTATTCTGTAGTCAGACTAAGATAATTTTTTTTTCTGGAATAAATAAGAGCTTTCCTGAAAATTGGAATAGATAAAAATGTGATAAAAATGTGATGTGATACATTGCATTATATTTGTGTGGTCTATCATATATATGTAGTATATTGTAACATACAGATGGCATACATATGATAGGTATATATAGTGTTAAAGTCATGATTCATGACAATAATATGTTGGAAGCCATCTGTTCTTCTCTGTGAGACAGTGATCTGACATGCTTTGCTTCCTGGAAAACAGTCACATTTATACAATATTACATAAAATCAGTGGCAGGAGGGTTTTATTGCATTACCCGTAACAAAACTGGCAAGCACTGGAGCACCTGTCTGAAGCAGACTAACACTGTTAATGGAGAAAAAGAAAAGCAAAGTGTGCATTTAACTCCCTGTTGTAAGTTATGCAGAGATGGACTATGGACTCTCTCAGCAGATTCCCAGGGGAGGCTGGGTGCCAGGGCTGCACAGCCTGTTACACTCTTGTTTGAGCAGGAGCAACTGGTCTTCAGGACACAGAAGCAGTTCTCTGGTGTATCCCAGCTGTGGGCCAGTTGCTGGGTGTGGATATCATGGCTCTGCCTCTTCCCATACCTCCCTCCCCCATGTGTAATCTTTCTCTGTCAGGACAATAGTATGCATCATTCCACTGCTTTACTGGAGCAACCAATACATGAAGTGAAAAACACTATGAAAAGTATACCTTCACGTAAGATATTTCTATCTAAATATTTCTTTGTGTATTGGTCTTAACTGCTCCATTTCATAGAGACCAATACAAACAGCTTCTTAATTTATAGCATGTTAAACCCAAGATACATGGTGAAAGTAGAATTCAGTTAACTGAGTTTAACTGAAATATGTTCCTCTGAATTATTCTGAAGGATGGGAAGGATGGAACATAAGTAAGGGTTACTGTAAGAAATAACATACTAGAAAAAAGTTTGGCAAACAGAATGAAACAGTATACCAAATTTCATTTGCTAGTAAAATTTTTTTCTACAAATACTCTTTTTAGAGAAACACTTATGCAAAGCCTAACAAGGAATGAAAATGTACCATAATATGCTACCTGAAAAGGCTCATAAAAAAAATCTGAGCTATTATTAAACAGTAGCACGTTGCTTAAGAGCACATAATGCCTAAACCATAAGAGCTTTAATGTATTCATGAAGTAAAATGGT